AGTATAGCAATTAACAATATGTTTTCTCGGAAATTCAACAAGCTCTGGCAGTCGGAAACAATTTTTTTGAAATTTTTTACAACTTCAGTATAATGGTTAACAACTTTTGTAACACTATTAACAACTTCAGTATAGCAGTTAACAACAGGTTTTTTGGGAAATTCAACAAGCTCTGACGGCCGGAAACAATTTTTTTGAAAATTTTTACAACTTCAATATAACAGTTAACAACTTGTGTGACGCTATTAACAATTTCAGTATAACAGTTAACAACAGGTTTTCTGAGAAATTCAACAAGTTTTGATGGCCGGAAACAATTTTTTTGAAAAGTTTTATAACTTCAGTATAACGGTTAACAACTTTTATAACGCTATTAACAACTTCAGTATAGCAATTAATAACAGGGTTTTTTTAGAAAATTCAACATTTGGTCGCCGGAGCTCTGGCAGCCGGAAACAATTTTTTTGAAAATTTTTATAACTTCCGTATAACAGTTAACAACTTTTGCAACGCTATCAACAATTTCAGTATAACAATTAATAATAGTTTTTCAGTAAAAATGCTATTTTTTGAATTTTTTAAAAAACTTGTTGTTAACTGTTATATTGAGGTTGTTAATAACATTACAAAAGTTGTTAACCGTTATACTGAAATTGTAAAAAAATTTAAAAAAAAAAGTAATTGCTAAAGTTGTAAAAATGCTATTTTTTTGAAGTTTTAAGAAAACATATTGTTAAATGCTATACCGAAGTTGTTAATAGAGTTACGAAACTTGTTAGTGGCATTATTGAAGTTATAAAAATGCTACTTTTTGAATTTCTCGAAAAACCTGCTGTTAATAGATTTACAAAAGTTGTTAACCGTTATACCGACGTTGTAAAAATTTTCAAAAAAATTGTTTCCGGCCGCCGAAGCTCCGGCAACCAATTGTTGAATTTTCCGAAAAACCTATTGTTAATTGCTATACTGAAATTGTTAATAGCGTCACAAAAGTTATTAACCGTTATATTGAAGTTGTAAAAATCTTCAAAAAAAATTATTTCCAGCCACCGAAACTTGTTGAATTTCCCAGAAAACCTGTTGTTAACTGCTATAATGAAGTTGTTAATAGCGTTACAAAAGTTGTTAACCGTTATACTTAAGTTGTAAAAATTTTCCAAAAAATTGTTTCTAGCCACAGGAGCTTGTTGAATTTTCTAGAAAACCTGTTATTAACTGTTATACTGAAGTTGTTAATAACGTTATAAAAGTTGTTAACCGTTATACTGAAGTTATAAAATTTTTTTAAAAAATTGTTTTCGGCCGCCGGAACTTGTTGAATTTTCCAGAAAAGTTGTTGTTAATTGCTATATTGAAGTTGTTAATAACGTTACAAATATTGTTAACCATTATACTGAAATTCTAAAAATTTTCAAAAAAATTGTTTTCGGCCGTCGGAGCTTGTTAAATTTCCCAGAAAACCTGTTGTTAACTGCTATACTGAAGTTGTTAATAGCGTTATAAAAGTTATTAACCGTTATACTGAAGTTGTAAAAAAATTTTAAAAAATTGTTTCCTGCCGTCGGAACTTATTGAATTTCCCAGAAAACTTGTTGTTAATTGTTATACTGAAATTGTTAATAGCTTTACAAATGTTGTTAACCGTTATACTGAAGTTGTAAAAGCTTTTAAAAAAAATATTTTCAACTGTCGAAGCTCCGGTGACCAATTGTCGGCCGATCGCCGGAGCTCTGGTGACTGTCGCTGCCGGAGCTCTAGTGACCGGCCGGTCAGTGGGGGTTTTGGTATTTTAAAAAAAAAAAATAAATAAAGGGCAGTTTGGTCTTTTCTTTTAACATGATAATCCCAATTTGGTCTCTTTCAGCAGACTATTTGGGGATTATGAAGTTCAAGTGGCATTTTTCTGTCTTTTTTCCTTTTAAGTATGGAATCTTAGTAAATTTTTTTTATCATGTGGGATTTTGGTAATTTTTTTTACTATTTATATAGCACATTGGTAAATTTGCCATCTTAAGTCTGGTTTCTCATTCTTGTCCCTGATATATGTCTATAACTACTATGTCCCCTCCCCCAATGTCAATAACTGCTACCTCTGCCTTGCTGCTTTAGTCTATATCCACTAAATGTGGCCCTAACAGTAAGTAATGCATATCCAATATGAAGAGAATGAGATGTTCTTTGGAAAAAAAAAACAAGAGCATTGATTATCAAGGGAAATGAATCAAATAGAATGAACTAATTTCTGATAATATGAAAAATCAAAATTAAATTCTTATTGAGAGATGTGCCTCTATTTAGCACCCAATAGTGTTTTGAACATAACTATCTACAATGAAAAAAATACCTAAACTCAGAGGGAAAAAAAACACTAACTATTCCCATCATGCCTATCCAAGAGTTAATGAATGTAGGGGCCAAATTGCAAGCAAAATATGGAGCGGAGGCCGCAATTGAATTTAATTTTTTCACGAGTTAAAAAAAACACAAGTGAAAATGTCAGAAAAAATCATGAAAATTACTAAATTTTAAATCATGAATTCTTATAAATATGTATTGTTATTTATAAGTCGGGATGTTGAGTGCATCTCAATCCTATTTTTTTCCTTCCTATCAAATATATTTGTGTGCGCGCGCTATGAGGAAGAAAGCCAGGTGGCATGGGCTGGAAGCAGTGGTGGTAGTCAAAGTACAATAATGTGGGCCCCCCCCCACGGAGAGGATCTTCTGGAGTCCGACGATGCTGGTTTCTACAGTACAGCCACAAGCCTGAGGGCAAGCGGGTCCCACTCCCTGCCCTTTTTCGTACCACGTGACACCCCTCGTTCGCATCCCAATATTCTACCCCTTACTCAGTCCCGCCCCACTTTCTACGGCTCCCATCTTTCTCTCTTTATTCACCCCTCCCCTCCTCTCTTTTTTTAATTCCACATCTTTTATACCCACACGCACACTTATCCATTTATCAAATTTCTTTTAATATAAGAATTAATTACAGGGTTAGTTTTAATTCTACGCATAGCACTTAGTCCATTTCAAGCGATGCACTATTTATCATGTTTTACAAATATATTAGTAATTTATCTAATATATAAATTAATATCAATTCGATGTCTTCTAAAAACATTTTTAAAAAATCATGTCACACTATTAGAATTGTAAAATATTTAAGTATACCCTTATTCAAAGGCAATTTTATATTAATTATAATAATTAAATTAATTATAAAGTTTAATAACATAGAAGGACAAATTAAAACCTATCAAATATTGTATACTTTTTTTAAATTTTTGTATTAAGCCAAACCAGGAGAAAAAGTCCAGCACCGTGGATCATATGTGTATATATATAGTTTTATAACGTAGCGTGTATATTAATGGTCAGAAAATATTGTCTATTATAAAATTAGAAAATATTCTGGCGTGATGAGTGGTGCGCAATTGTTTTTTTCCAAAGCACAATATAGTTGTTACATACTTGTATATATTCAAAGCATTTAGTAGTAGTTAGGAGGAATTTGCCATTTGCTTTCTGTATTTTTTCAAAAAAATAATAATGAAACATATTCTTGCTCCTAAAAAAATTTAAAAAATATATAAAAAAGCTAGAAATTACTAAATGTCAAATAAAAATACTAACAAAAATTTATTTTTATTTACAAACTTAGTATTGTTAATACAAAATAAAATGTTGTTATCAATCTTATTTTGAGATTTAGTACTAATTTTTAACTTTTTTTTGTCATCTTTTTAAAAATAAAAGCAGGTTGATTTAATAGCACTTACGTCATAATGTTTAGCCTCCAATTCTCCACCTGCTACCATTAATTTTCGCCCGCACTAACTACCGTTATTTTTTTTTCTAAGGATGAATAGTAATATTAGTATAGAATTGTAAAAATATAAAATTTTATAGTGATAATTATTTTAAAGTAAATAGAGCATGATTTATTACAAATTTATTTTTTTATATTTAGATATGTTGTAAACTTCTGACTATTTCTTTTTTTTTTATGAACAAATTTTACGTTTGACATGAGATATTATTGACGTTAATGATGGTCATGATATTTCTTCCATTTATTCATATTTCACAAATTAATAAAAAAATAGTCTACACATGAATAGGTTTTATTTATTCCTTTTTTATTATTTATATAAAATGTTAAATAGGTTTGATTTTTGCAAACAGAAGTGTCTCAAAATCAAACTGAAATTCTCAATTAGACTTTATTTTTATAACAGGGGAATAATAAATCAGGAGAATCTTTACTTTTTTTTTGGCCAACAAGATTAATAACAATCAAATCTTCATTTTCCAATGAAGGGAAACAATTTTTGTGCAACTGCGTGTTTTCACTGGGGTTATATGGAACATTTGACTCAAAATTCAAAAAGCCTAATTTTGTACTCTCTCCTATTTAAAATATAAGCTAAATTTTACTGGAGGGATTTAGTTTTTTTATAAGATAATATTTACTTTTATTTAAGTATTTAATAAGTTTTTTTTCAATTTTATCCCCTATATATTTTTTTAGTTCATTTATTATACTTTTAACTTATTCTCTTTATTAATAAGGATATATTTAAAAAATATATATACTCCTTATATATTTATTATTTTAAACTGGTTTTAACTAGTTTTTTAATAAATATAAACGATTTAAATTTCGTTTATATTTTAAACAGGAGTAATATATAAGTCTCTCGGAGAAACGGGAATCCGTGTTCCAAAATGGAGGAGTCACTCTCCCACATCGCTGTTATGCTTGACCTTTTTGTAATTATTATAAGAAAATTTAACCATCTCACCGAAGGAATCAAAGAGAAATAATTAAATTATTAACTTTACGTGAAAACTTAAATTAACACCCGTGAAGTGACCGATAACAATTCATCTCGCCCGCCCGGGGGGGGGGGGGGGTTAGCTCTCTATATGTATTTCCAATTTATGCTTTTGGCCTTTTTGATTCAAATAAGAGTGAAGGCAGTTTTAGTTGACACGGCTTCTGTTAATGTGAGGTTTGGTTGGAAAAAGAGGGATTGCGACTTGTCACAAAGAAGAGAAGTATAAAATCAGACATCCTCAGCTCAATTCGACGACAACAAACAAGTGTGTGTGAGAGAGAGAGAGAGAGAGAGTCTTATATTGCACGAGCCCGGCGGTGCTCATTGTCGCCTCTCGCCTCTTCAAGACCAGCTTCCATGTTCCTTTTCTGACCACCTTATTGGTACGTATTTTCTGCTACATCACGAGTCGATTTTGAATAATTTTCCTGTATTCCATCTCCCCTGTTTGGTTCCCGAGAAAATGGTTACCGCATCCCCGCCTAAACTCTCAGTTTATACGACTTCAAATCTTCCACTTTTTCATGCAGATGTAGTTAAACCAGTTGGGCTCTGTTTTGCTTCTGGGTTGGAAAAAGATTACATTTTCATTACGAATCTAGAAGTGGGGTATTCTTGATTGTAGTGGGATTTTCTCGCCGCGGAGTGGGGGAAAAAAAAAAGAAAGATAGTGGGGCTGGTTCTTGGGTTTCATGATTCGTTTTGATCGGATCTCTTTTGTGTGATATTCGTTCGCTGAAGAGTATTTTGTTTTTGTCAGTATTACAGGCAGAAAGGAACAAGAGAGGAGGGAATATGGCTGTCACAGGTTCAGCATCTAGACAGCCGCAATTCATTTCGAGCACTGGAAACCGAAGCTCTTCCGATGCTCCTCTTATCGAAAACTCAGACACTGATCAAATTGTCGTCCCTGATGTGAGTTTTAAACTCCCCCCATGATTCATCTATCAGTTCTTTTCGATAAAAATATACCAATATTATATGTGATAGAACTTTTTATTTTTATGTTTTCTTTCCGTTGTTTAGCTTGGCATAGTGTATCTTTGGTAATAATGATGAGTAATTAGCAGCTTTGTCTTTACTCTCTCTGTTTTCTTATGACTAATCTTTTCAGTTACAGTAAAGTTATTATATGAATGACGTTGTATTTCATGTCATAAGTTGATACGATGGAGTTACAGTGTTAAGAGCATAAGTCAACATGGAGAAGTGTCATAAGCAATATATGTGTAACACTCTTCAAATAGTGAGATAACATGTAATTTGAGGTTTATGTGAACAATCAACAAGTAATCAACCCTCCTAACAGTTTCATAGCAAAGCCTTCAATAAACCCAAAAAAGTTACAGACATCCAGTGAAGAAATCTCTATGGGTGATGAATTGAAAAACAATACTAAGATGCCAATGATTCTTTCTTTGGGTTCCTGATATTTTTTTTCAGTTAGTGACAAATTAGAAATTGCACTGAATTAATTCTCATGGTTAAATTGATGTCCAAAGCGATTTGCCCAGTGACTATGGTTGGCCTATGTTTCTATTCTGCAGAAAACAAGCTGGAAAAACTTATTTGCATATATGGGTCCTGGGTTTCTTGTTTCTATTGCATATATAGACCCAGGAAACTGTAAGAGGTTTTTCTTTCTTCTCATGATTTCCTAATCTAATTAAAGGAAAATACTCTTCTATGTTGCTTATTATGTCCCAATATTAAATTGCAGTTGAAACGGATCTTCAGTCAGGGGCACAATATAAATATGAGGTATCTTTTGGCAGATGTTCTTTCAATTAAATTTTGTCTTCAAATGAGATGAATATTATAACTGGTATTTATGATGTTAGAATGTTGAATTCATGTATCATGTATGTGTTTTTTTCCCCCCTTATTCCAGTTACTTTGGATCATATTGGTGGCCTCTTGTGCTGCTCTTATAATTCAATCAATGGCAGCCAATTTAGGAGTTGTAACTGGTACTTGATTTGACGAAACTTTGTCTTTAACTGAACAAATATGATATGTTCATGTATGTTAATATGCTTTCTTCTGATCCAATTATTTTAATTGTATTTGATGCTTGTAGGAAAACATTTAGCAGAGCATTGTAGAACTGAGTATCCTCGGTCAACAAACTTCATCTTATGGGTTATTGCTGAAATTGCCATAGTGGCTTGTGACATTCCTGAAGGTAGTTTAATCTTTATATAGATTTTAAGAATGCTTTAAAAGAAACAATATTGATCTAAACATGTTTAGTAACCAAAAGTAAAGGGATGAATTCTTGGCTGTCCTATTCTTTAGATATGAGCTACCTATAGCACACTCAAGTGGAAAAAACATAGTACTGAATTACGGCATTTGAATTGTGATATTGTGAAACAATTATTGTTTCCTCATTTTTCTTGTTTGTCTCGATATTTATATCATCTTGCTTTTTCCTGTGTATATGCAGTGATCGGAACAGCCTTTGCATTGAACATGCTCTTCAACATACCTGTTTGGATTGGTGTTCTTTTAACAGGGCTCAGTACATTGATCCTCTTAGCATTACAGCAATATGGGGTAGTTTTCTTAATTCCAGATCCCCTTTCCCCTGATGACCGTCTGACTTCATCGAGAGAATTTTTATATGCTGAACAAGTCTAGGTTTTTTACTGCATGTTTAATTAGGCAACATCCATATGAGATCGTCATGGCCCCTTTTCTATTGTGTTGTTTAACAGGTGAGGAAACTTGAGTTCTTGATTGCATTTCTGGTGTTTACAATTGCTGCGTGCTTTTTTGCTGAACTTGGATATGCGAAGCCTGATGCTAAAGAAGTTCTGGAGGGTCTTTTTGTACCGAAACTCAAAGGGAGTGGTGCTACGGGTCTTGCAATTTCACTCCTCGGGGCTATGGTTATGCCGTATGTCCCTTGCCTGTTATGCAGCCACCATTCCCCCCCCCCCTCTATCCTTTCTGCCTTTCCAATTTAAAAATACATTCTTATGTCCATGTATCTTCATGTATTTGTGTTAGGCACAATCTCTTCCTCCACTCGGCATTGGTGCTCTCTAGAAAAATACCACGATCAGTTCATGGAATCAAAGTAAACATCTAATTCCATATGAATGCTTAATCTTATTTAAATTCGTAGCTTTAGTTAGGACAACGCTTTCTAGAAGTTCACCTGCGTGGATCATTGATTTAAAAATCAGTGGATGGCTATTGCATACCTGCTTGCGTTAGAATCCATGCCAGAATAATATATTATCTCACTTTGTTCCTACTATTCTTGTTTGCACAAAACTCACAAATTAAGATTTGGTTATATGGATGCCTTTCTTCTCTCTCTCTTTTTTGCCGTGCATTTTTCAGAACAAGATTCTTCAATGATATTTAAATTGAACTGTACTTTGAAATATGCTTTACGATAGGAATATGCTTATTCACCTGATGCCTTTTTAATCTAAAAGATTGAAACTTGTTGAAAGTTGAATTATTCTTATGGGTTTAGCTTATCAAGGTCCTGCTAATGTCAGAATATTAGATATAATAGTGTCTATCAAAAATGAATTAGGATCTGATACCATTCTGTTTCCTTTTTTGGGCTAAACTTTTGTTTTGACAGGAGGCTTGCAGATTTTACATGATAGAAAGTGCCTTTGCTCTTTTGGTGGCTTTCCTCATAAATGTTTCTGTCATCTCTGTGAGTGGCGCAGTTTGCAATTCTTCGAATTTGAATGCAGAAGATCAACAGAGCTGTCAGGATTTGGACTTGAACAAAGCCTCCTTTCTGCTAAAAGTATGTGGAACACAAAGAAGCCACTAATGCTTCTGTATAAATTATATCGTGTATCACAGAAAAATACTGCAGTTTTCCAGTCCTTAAACTTAACCCCCCCCCCCCAACAAAAAAAAAAAGCGTTGATGCATAAAGTAGCTTTGCTAATTAGAGTTATCAATGATAATTGCTGATACGTGTCATACGCAGAATGTACTGGGTAAATGGAGTTCAAAACTGTTTGCAGTTGCTTTGCTTGCTTCGGGTCAAAGTTCTACGATAACAGGAACATATGCAGGGCAATATGTCATGCAGGTATTCTGTTTATGAATATTACTTACTTTACTGTGAGAACTGGCTAGAGCATTGTCATATTGTGCCAATTCTTTCTTGTTTGACTTTCAGGGATTTCTTGACTTACGGCTGAAACCATGGATTCGAAATTTCTTAACTCGCTGTTTAGCCATAGTCCCTAGTTTAATTGTTGCGGTCATTGGTGGCTCTGCTGGGGCAGGGAAGCTCATAATTATTGCATCAGTAAGATATCCTTTTCTTTAACTTCTCTGAAAAAGTTCTCATCAACTTTTCACATGGAAAAATGGTAGTCTTTGTCATACTTTGTGTTAAAGGCTTATTTGTTTGTTTATCAGATGATCTTATCATTTGAGCTTCCTTTTGCTTTGATTCCTCTCCTCAAGTTCACTAGCAGCAAAACCAAGATGGGCACTCATGCCAACTCATTCACGGTAAATTATACTAGTTTTACAAACAATCCAGCACTATTCATGTGTTTTTTCAAATTATGGTAATAACTATAAGCATGAAGTTGGCTACAATCATTCTTGAAGGGATTAGAAAGCATGCTGCTGAATCAAAGGACCAAAGTTGCTAATACCTTGCAGCATCTTGTTCTGATCTATGATTCACTTTTATGTCTTGAATTGCAGATATCGGTTTTGACATGGATCATCGGTTCGCTGATAATGGCAATAAATATATACTACTTACTGACCGGGTTCGTCAAGTTGCTTCTTCATAGTGAGCTGGAGATTGTGGGTAAGGTGTTTGTGGGGATTTTAGGGTTTTCAGCCATAGCAATATATTTGGCTGGGATTGCTTATCTGGTGTTTCGCAAGAACAAGAAGGCAACTCACCTTCTGTCACTAACAACACCTGAAAGTAGGCAAATGGAAAATGAACAAGGCAATGGATCAATGTATTGCCTCCCAAGAGAAGATATAATTAGCATGCAATTACCTCAGAGAAGTAGCTTAACTGATCTCTGACTTTAGAAATTCTCTGCAGACATAGATTTCTGAAGTAGGATTTAGTTTGGGGAGTTCACTAGGGTAAGATTATAGTGCTTTTAGTTACTAGAAAGTAGAAACGTGGATAAGCAAGGCTATGTATCACTTGACTTGGTTTGCTAAGCTTTTTGATCTTCCTTTTTCAAGTAATGCATTCTCTCATCCCTTGTTATAGTCTCTTCTTTAAAGAATTGTATTTGTGACAGCAAAATGTCAGTAAAAAATAGAACACAATTTTATGTTTTTTAATTATTTTTTCCAAAACAAAAAAAAGCAGTCCGGTGCGCAAGGCTCCCATGAAGTGAGATTTGAGGGGTGGATGTATAGAGCTTTACCTTTGCAAAGTGAGAGAATGCTTTCAGGATTTGAACCCTGTGAATTTTAGGTCATATGGTAACAACACCATTTTTTTTTAGGACTTACCTCCGTTTAATCATGTTTAAAAATAAAAAATAAATATTATATAATAAGTTGGAGTTGGGTTGGAAAGTAATCCTCTTTTCTTATTGCTTATGAAACGAGGCTTTAGAACATTCCTAAATGGAATAGAGATCAGTGTGAAAGAAAAGATGCCCTCTTTATTTCTGCAAAGAGAGGTGAGCATGAAGCCACTTGGACCGAAAGCAACCCACTAAAATTATTTAAGAAAAAATTTCAAATATTTTAAGTTCTATCAATCCCACTAACAAAAGCTTCCACGTTAAATTCTATCGTTTTCTATTTTGAAATAAGTGTGAGTTTGTCACGTGGCCTGCCATTATTTAGTTTGAGACGAAAATGATTTACATATTATGCAAAAAAAAAAAAAGGGAAGAAAGAGATGCCTTATAAAAGAAGTTTGAAAATCTTAATTCTTGGGTGTGGATGTGGATGACATACAATACACAAGATTCCATGCTATGTATAGAGAAATTTTAAATAATAGACCAAAAAAATGAAACGATTGTGTGATGACCCCACATTTTTCATGAAATTTATTTACTCCTCTAGTTCTTAATATAAAACCTATTTAATTAATTTAATTAGATTAAGAAAGTTAGGTAAGTTAAATAATTATAAGAAATGTGATATGTTTTTCCTAAAATACCATAATCATATTTTTAAATATTCTTTATTCCTCTTCTACTTGATTATGATTGAGGGAGTATCTATATAGGTAATTTAAGAAAAATTGATAAATATGAAAAATATATATATTTAGGACTAAAATCAACTCAACAATTAGGTTCTATATCTAGGACCAGAGGAGTATGATCTAATTTAATTAGAAGTTATTACAAATTAAAAATGACTTATGCAATGCATTGTATGAATGTATTACAACCTTAAGTTCTAGACAAGAGATTTTACTTTTTGATGGGCTAAGGCGTATCTAGTACCATGACATATTTTTTCAAATGTATTTAATAACTCAAAGCATTTTGTGATGTATCTAGCACCTTGAAGTATTTTTAGGGATGCCCAGCACCCTAAAATATTTTTTTTTTTGGCCTTGATGCTGGATGCAACCTAAAACATTTTTGTGTGGCGTCTAGAAAAAATACTTTAAGGTACTAGGCGTGTTTAAAAAAATATTTCAGTATACTGGGTGCACTACAAAATATTTTAGGTTGCTGGATGCACAAAAAAAAAAAACTTCAGAGTGCTGAATGTACCTTAACTCTTTTTTAAATATAAAAGTTCAATCACGTTGGCTTTCAAATTTATAATTTTTTTCTCAAAACATCCAAAATAAGAAACATTTAGAACATGATTAGTAATTACAAACAATGCACATACATGATTATAAAAAGATACATTTAACCAACGGGAGTTGAATTTAGTTGAAAAGGCTAATCTTTCATAGTGTAGCAAACAAAGGTTTAAATAGCTGCCGAAGAAGTGCTCATATTTAATACGAAATAGCGCCTCAAACAAGATTGCTTTCATTTTAATAAGAGAATTCCAGTTATTAGCAAAAAACAGAGAGGAAAGAATACATTTATTACAAACAACTATTTTAATTAATTTTTTTAATATTTATAAAGTAGTTATCAAGTTTTTATAATAAACACAGAAAGGGTATTGATTATTTTAAAACTAAGTTGATGTTTGCAAATAATTGAAGAGCCGTTTTGAGACAATCATGGACCTCAATTATAAATTCGTAACATTTTGTTTATAGTTGATGAATTGATTTTGACGTTTAAGGTTTCATCTTTATCTTCGTTCGTTTGCCTAAAGAAATATTTAAACACAACGTAAAATGCCGGTACTTCGATGAGTCCATGTTCTATGTTCTAAGTCCCACAAGAAATCAGCATCAAACTAGATTGGGTTACGCGCTAACTTGGTTGTGAACAATGGACTTTATAGCATTTATGGATGTGGTGAACAATGGACTTTATAGCATTTATGGATATGACATAAGGCAACGACCAAAGTTTTAAAAAATACTATTTCCGCTGCTTATTATAAAAGCAAGTTGTTTAATGTAAGTAGATTAAGAAAATTTATTAAATTAGTTACTTGTAATAAATAGACATTGTTTTTTTTAAAATACTTTTACTAATCATGTGTATTTGTTAGAACTATCATTTGATAAAACTTTTAACATGTGCAACTCCTACAATGACTATCTTGAAAAAATAGATAAATATGAGAGACAAAATAAATTAGGATTTTATATTTAAGACCAAACTAAAAGTTAAACTAATTCTTATATTAATCAGTGAAGGTAATGTGTTTGTGTATATATATTTTGGTGTGACCAAAGGAGTATGCCAAGAATGATGTATATAAGTGACCTAACACCACATCTTTATTCAAAGTGCATAACATCAGAGGGTTAACGAGTCATTCTCTTCTTCAACTTAATTTTATTGGATGTGGGACTTTTCCCACCTTCTTACATTTTTAAATTAAGTTTATTCACACTTGGCATTCCTATAGAGTCCACAAATATTGATTTACCCTTTTTTTTTTTTTGTAAAAAACCATTTCAAGAGTCATTTTAGTGAATAGAGTAATTAAATTTGAAAATGAGTAAGAAAAACAAATATATATATTTTTATTGAGATCAGTTATACCCTATAAAGTAATAATTTCAAGAGTCACTTCACTTATATATCTCTTCTTTAGCTTAATTTTTTAGGGACTTTTCCTACTTTCTCACATTTTTAAAGGGAAAATTAAAATGAGGTAAAAAAGAAAAAGAAAATAATTACTAATAAGTCTCCGTAACAAGTAAGCAATTATTATGTTCTGCACTAAAATTTGTTAGGAAGAATTATAATCAAATCCTAAGGAAGAGAAATAATTACTAAAAGGTCCCAATAATAACTTGAGTAGTCTATAATGACAAGTTTTACAATAAAGAATAATAACTTTTAGGACTTACTTTGTAATTTTTTTCTTTTTTGAGACCTTATTGTAATTCTCTCAATTTGTTATTTGTTATTGCATAATGCACTGTTGTCAATTAGACTTTTGAGTAACTGTGTTCTTTTTTTTTTTTTTAAACTTAATAGCAATTCTCCCATTTTCAAATTAAGTTTATTCACACTTGACATACCTATAGATATAGAGTCCATATGTATTGATTCACCAGTTTTACACACAAAAAAAGACCATTTCAAAGGAATTGACTAATATGGATATCAAGCACGTTCACAATTCCATCTTAAATATTTTCAATAGATTCGCATGGACCCAAATTGCTAAAAACTTGTTTATTTTATTTTCCTTTCAACCCCATTAACAAAGCTGTCACATATAAGTCCCAATTATCAAATGAATGAGACTTTCTTTGACAACACAAAAAAAAAAAAAGGGAAAGAAAGAGAGTTTTTCACATGGCCAACCAGTAAGTTCGAGGTCTTCATAACGAAATTTATACACTAATGGCAACCTATAATTATTTACATTTCAAAGACGAGCAGAAATTACATGTCCCGTTTACCGATAAAAAATGTTTAAAAATCTTAACTCTTGACCGGATAAGAGACTAATAACGGAAATTTTAAATTTAGTTTATTTTTTTTTGCTGTACATAATTCCTTTTATACATTTTATTATTTATATATATCATTTCCTGTCCTTAATGTAAGAGCTAATTTACTAATTTGATTAGATTAAGAAAGTTTGTTAAGTTAATTATTTGTAATAAATGATTATTATCTTTTTTAAAATATCCTTATTAATTAAATGTATTGGCTAGAACTACCATTGTTACAAGGATTACCTTGGAAAAAAAATAAATAAATGTGAGAGACAAAATGAATTGGAGTTTCATATTTAGGATCAAAATTTGATTAGCAAGAATATTTTTGAAAAAACAACAGCTACTTATTACAAATAATTAACTTAACTAGTTTTCTTAATCTACTCAAATTATTTAGCTAACTTTTATATTAAGAACCGAGAGTAGTATTAAGTAGTAGCTAAGTTTTTGACAAAATTAACTGCAGAATATAACTTAGATGAAGAGGATTACAAGATGGAGTAGCGTATTACTAGTTTCAAAACTAAAGTTAACAGCCGTTTTAAAGATAATCATTATTGCCATAGTCATTGACCCAATCATTCATATTAATATTATTTATGGTTGAATCGATTTTGACGTTTCTAAAAGTCTCTGTTTATCTCTGATTGGTTCCTCATCCCTTCAAGAGAAATATTTTAACCCAACATGAAAAGTCCATGTTCAAGTCCCACAAGAAATTTAGAGCAAACTAAATTGGGTAACGTGCAAACTAGATCGATTAAAGATGGATTAGAAGATGAAAAGATAACACATAGATGATAAATTCAAAGTTAAAAAGAGAGAAACCAGACTAAACAAACGTTGACAAGTTAAAATGAGTAAGGAAAAGCAAATATATTGATCGATTTTACTACTTTTACAGAGAAGAACCGTTGGAAGGAATTGTCTGAAGTCTGATACAGATATCCAACACATTCACAATTCTAATCTTAAATATTCTCATCAATAGCTTCGTGTGGACCCAGCTTACTAAAAACTGCTTCTCTTCATCTTTAATGATAATAATAATAAACAATACTTGGGAACTAATTACTTGGGCAGTAATAACTGATTAAACTGTATGTCTAGGATTTAATCTGAACAGATTCTGCTTGCTTGGTGGGAAGAGGAAGATGGCCTTTGTCCTGCAGGCTCTTGACGGTGTCGTATAAACATTGATCCACTGGCGTAAACTCTAGT